CATGTCGTCCGATCTGAGTTTACATTGCCGACTGATAGTGCTCCTACAATGACATTTTTAGCATAAAGTAGCTAAACGCACGCGCCACGCACGCATTAAGTCTTAATGTACTTGTCAACAACAACTTGTCGACCGTAACTCTCGAAATGGCAGCAGTGGGCAACCTCCCAACACTAAGCTTACATGCCGTTGGGACAGTCGACCGCAAAAAATGGTGACGTCATCAAAAGGAGCTCTTGCGCAGGCAGCTGATAGCTGCAGAATAGCGGTAACGAATATGCACAATGTCTGTTTGCGTGCGCATATAAGTTTGACCTTGGGCCACCGTTTGCTGGTCATCACCCTGTCGGCTTGCTGGCCTCAGTCAGCAGTGCACTGGTGCAGGGCGGAAAAGGTCATATCGTTCGATCGGCGATTGATATTCGCGTCTGATAGCGATCACACGATGACATTGTTTGAGCTTGGTCACACCCTCCACGCACACATAGAAGTGATTTATACTGCCAACTCTAAAGATAGCTGCGGCTGCCGGTTCGGCAGCACTGTGATTCGCCTTAGGGGCGTCGACCGAAATAAATTCATGACGCCATGGAAAAAGTTCTTGCACATTCAGTTGATAGTTGTGAAAAAGTGCTAACGAATGTATACAGTGGCTGTCTTTTCGTGCGCTTACAAGTTCCTCATCTCCGACCACCGTATGCTGGTCATGCTGCCGTCTGGCTGGTCGGCAATGCGCAATCATAACGAAGAAAAGGTTTTGCCTCCCGATCGGCAATTTAAATTGGTGTCTGATGGTGCTCCAACAAGCACATTGTTTGACCCTGGTTGCACCCGCCCCGCATGCACCGCATTATTTCATATTGCTTTCCCTAACTCAGGAGATGGCTGGCTCGCCAGCACTGAGTAACACGCCGTTGGGGCATCGATCGGAAACAATCGATGACGTCATCAAAGAAACCTGGTGTACGGGCAGCTGGCAGGACTGTAGAACGGTGCTTACGAATATACGCAGTGACTGTTTTTGCGTGTGATTAAGAGTAATTGCGCCGGGTCACCGTACACTGACCATAACGCAACCGGCAGGATCTGGACCATAATGCTACGGCAATGCAGCGCCATAACGAAGGAAAGGTCATGTAGTCTGATCGGCGATTTATCTTTGGCGGCTGATTGTTTTCCCACAACTGCATTGTTTGAGCATTATCGCACCCGCCGCTGACGTATAAATATATGTTTAATTGGCATCCGTAACTCCAGAAATGGCCGGCTCGTCAACGCTGGGTGATGTATCGTTGGGGCATCGACCAGAAGTAATCGACGACGTCATCAAAGACAGTTGTTCCACAGACAGCTGACGTCTGTGGAACAGTGTTAGTGGGTATGTGACGCTGCTCCCACTGTGACGCTGTTCGGGCATAATCGCACCCGCCACGCACGAATACAAGTACTTCGTAAGGCCATCCGTAACTGGAAATGGCCGGCTCGCCAGCAGTGATACGCCTCTGTTTCATCGACCGGAAAAAATCGACGCCATTAAAAACGGCTCTTGCACATGCAGCTGCTGGCTGTGGAGCATTGGTAAACGATATATACAGTGGCTGTCTTTTGTCTTTGTTTGCGCATATAAGTTTATATCTCGAGTCACCGTATGCTGGCCATCGCGCTCCCGCTGGCTGGCCTCAGTCGGCAATGCAGCGAAGAAAGCGTCATGTCTTCCGACCGGCAATTTATCTTCGTGCCTGCTAGCGCTTCTACCGTGGCATTTGAGTATGGTCACACGCGCCACGCACGCATAAGATTACTTGAAAGTGTCATCCATAACTTCAAAGATGGCCGCGGTGGCCGACTCCCCAGCACTAGGTGATACGACGTTGGTCATCGACGGAAAAACTCGATGACGTCATTAAAAGCGGCTTTTGCTTAGGCAGATGATAGTTACAGAGCAGTGTTAATGAATAAACATTTTGAGGTAAAAATAAGAAGTTAATATATGAACGATAGGGTGTCGGTAGCCAGTCTCCACGTTGTGGAAACGTCCACCCAGCCAAATATCGCGGGCCCCAGGCTCGATACTGGGGCCCAACAGACATGGGACGAGGCAGCTCAACATGGGGGGGGGGGGGGAGATGGACACTCTCAAAGGGATACAAAGTTCTGCCCCCGCTGACCTTACGTCACCGGCTAGCTGAACGCCTGGAGCCCGTCGGCATGCCGCGCCGTTGCTGGCGTGTCGGGAGTCCCCGGGTTCCGCGTCGGTGAGACGGCCGGCGGCCGAGCACAGCCTCGGCAATGCTCTGCCAACCGCCGCTGGCGTGTCGAGAGTCCCCGGGCTCTGCGTCGGTGAGACGGCCGGCGGCCGAGCACGGCCTCGGCAGTGCTCTGTCAACCGCCGCTGGCGTGTCGGGAGTCCCCGGGTTCCGCGTCGGTGAGACGGCCGGCGGCCGAGCACAGCCTCGGCAGTGCTCTGTCAGCCGCCGCTGGCGTGTCGAGATTCCCGGGTTCCGCGTCGGTGAGACGGCCGGCGGCCGAGCACGGCCTCGGCAGTGCTCTGTCAACCGCCGCTGGCGTGTCGGGAGTCCCCGGGTTCCGCGTCGGTGAGACGGCCGGCGGCCGAGCACAGCCTCGGCAGTGCTCTGTCAGCCGGCGCAGGCAATGGTCCCCAAGACATCAAAGGTGGAGCCCTTCACGCTGCGGCACGGTATGTTTGACAGTGGCGCGATGTTTTAACCCCTCGCTCCCAACATTCTGTATTAGGTCGTCGTTTGCAAGCCTGCGTCGCCCTGATGACAAGCTCCTCAGGACGATGCACATAGCTTCGCTGATCTGCGCCTGCCCGCGTACAACGCAACGGGACGGCCCTCGCGATAAACACCGGACGTCAGGCCTGGTGCTGGCCTCGGGGGTCCGCCGTCCTGACAGCGGCAGGATCCGGCCGCGCCGGTGCGTTGGCACGAGCGGTAGTCCGGACTCGCCCGCGGCCCAGTCCTCCCGTTTGTCATCGTGCTCCCGCGAGGCGGCGCGGCGCCCGACGGCGCGTGCTCTCCCCTCCCCCCTCCCGACATCGTGCTGGTTGTCACCGTGTCGGACCGGCCTGCGCCGGAGAAGGTGAGCCGCTGCGTCGACATCTGCGTCCTGCGAGGGGGACACGACCGGCGCGCCACCATGACGCTGCGCAGCGCCAGCAACGAGAAGCGTGAGCTGGAGCCGGCGCCGGACGGCCGGGCGCGGCGGCGCCGGGGAGAGGGCAGTTCTTGAGCACCACGAGCAAGGGATAAAGGATACAGCATCTACGGGATCTCAGCAAGGCATAAACAGGATGTTGGTAAGGCATGCAGGATACTCAACCAGCGTTTAAGGGTCATGATCTTCTCCGCGATCCGTTAGGTTCCGGCAACCGCGTGAGCGTTGGAATGTACAAATGTTAGCTTGGTGGGATGTGCATCATGGACATGCCGTTCCCAGGTAATGCTAGGCATGACAAAGCTATAATTTACGCCAGCACGGCGGGCCATTCACTTTTCTCTCGCTTAAGCCCCTAGTTTAACGACTTTTCTTTCACAGAGGGCATCGCGAACTTTGTCGCTCATACCATTAAGGGAACAGGTCCCGCGCGGCCGCCTGGATGGCAGCTCCATAGCTTAGTACGGAAGTACTGAGCACTGCAAATTCGTCCGCCGTAGAAATGCGGGCGGTCCATTCAGATGGGATGATAACCTGACATGGCGCACCGCCGCACCCCCGAGCCCTTCATTACCCACCCAGTAGCGGGCCATGAGGACCACCAGCCGTGAGAACCACCAGCCGTGAGGACCGCTAGCCATGAGGACTACCAGCCGCGAGGACCACCAGCCGTAAGGATCGCCAGCCGTGAGCACCACCAGCCGTGAGGACCGCCAGCCGTGAAACTACCGTCAATTCCACGATTGTTTAAAAACATTGAATGGGGTTGACTGGGGGTTCACTAAATGCTCTAGATGACCAGCGAGCATGGCAATGCCCAGAACAGATGAGCAAAAACGTCCGCGTCGCGCAAAACGGTCAACGAGATCTTGGCAGAAGAATGCTTGCAAAAATAACTTGGAAATCTCCACCATTGTCGGTGGCGTCCACTGGCCTTCTGAATAAAATCCAAACGAACCAAATATACCGCTATATTGTTATCGACTGGTAGCTGTTCCAGGAAAAGCGCATTTACGGGCCACTCGCGATTAACATGTATCACATGTCCCTGAAGGACTAGGCACTTTTCACTACTTCCTCAGCACCGGAACAGCAATCTAAGGCATCGGGCCACAAGGAAGGCAAACAAAACCTCGTGAGGACACGGACTTTACTCTAACGCAAACATCAGCACAAAAATCACAAGCTCTTGATCGCCAAGTAACAGGCGTTGAACACAACCTGACCCGAAATCTGTTTCAGCCAATCATGGCAGACAAACCACGGTATGCAATAAGAACTAAACTACCCAGGGGCGTCCACATTTACCAACGTTGAAGCATTGCACCAGCTGTCATTCATAGAAGGCTGCAATCAAAATGTCGCAGCGGACTTGGAACACTGCAGGGTAATAGATGCAGCCTATTCAACCCATAACTACCACATGGCCACATTTCGAAACACTAGTGACTACATACGTGGAATTGGCGACCGACCGTCCACAAACACGCGCAGTGCGCAGGCACACACACATCAACGATGAAATGAGATGGTTTGTCATTACTGGGCAACTCATCAGTCAACTCGGGGTGACGCGGCAGTCCAGGATCACACCCGACAGCAGATATCAGTGATCTAGAGATGTAGACGTACCAGGAGTGCATACAAGCAACCAGTCTTTCCATTTGAAAAGATAAGGGAAGGCCGGACTGATGATCACAGGACTCGCTCGCAGAGGGGGGGGGGGGGGGGCGCAGGACAAGTGTATTTCAGGCGACGAACGCCGGAGGAGACTCGGGGCGTCGCCGGCCGGCCGCCTCGGCCCCCACGCCTCAATCCTGTCAACCGTGGCTCTCCACCGGCACGATCTCAGCCACCCGCGCCCGTCCCCGAGCGGACCCCGTGTGCCAGGCGGTAGCCGGCTGCGACAGCTGGCGCCGCCGGTCGGGCGTCAGGCGAACCACGCCGCCCGTCAGCTCTCGCACCGTAGCCAGCGCCGTCTGTAAGTCGGCGCTGGCTGTCGGGCGGCGACGGGAGAGCGCCAGCCGAGCCAGCCGCTCGAGCAGGAGGGCTGCGGCGGCGGCCAGCAGACCGCCGAACAGCAGCCAGAAGGCGCCCTGCATCTCGGCCAGTGAGAGGCCCGCGCGCCCGGCGCCCAGCTGCGGCCGGCCGCCGTCCTCCGGCAGGCAGACGCTGGCGTTGGGCAGTGAGCTGCGCAGCCACGCCTCGATCAGGCCCGACTCCTGCATCAGCCGCAAGCTGGCGGCACGCGGCCCCGACGCCGTTACACACGCGCTGATACACTCGGTGACAATGCCACAGACACGGTTCACCACGTCTGGGCCCCCATGCCGTCGCCGACATTCTGACACACAGTTACTGCAATACTGACACACTGTCACTGCCACACTGACACATCGTCACTGTCATACTGACACATCGTCACTGCCATAATGAAGCCTCGTAACCGCTGTACTGAAACCTCGTGACTGCCATACTGACACCTCGTCACTGTCACGCTGACACCTCGTCACTATCATACTGACACCTCGTCTCTGACACCGTAACACCTAAAAACTGACGCCTCATTACTGCCATACCGACGTTACTGTCATACTGATGCCTCGTCACTGTCATACTGACACCCAGTCACTACACACCGACACCCCATCACTGACATACTGACACCCAGCCGCTGGCGCTCTGTTACTAACATACTGCTACGGATACCACGTAACTGAAACAATGCCACCACGCCCCGACCAAAACGGAGGACAGCATATACAGGCCAGCGGCGCATGGCTGACGCACAGCCATACATACCCGGTTTACATGGGCAGCCGAGGATAATTCGAATTAAGATCGGAACGGATCATGCGACGTTAACCCTCTCGGCGAGGGGCGTTTACATGGGCGAAACCGGCTTTACGTCGGATTAACGGTCGATAGTTCGATCCCGCTTAGTTCGAACCAAGGAACGGGTTATGGGCGAAAACTGCGCTTTTGAGGCGAACTGAACAAAACAAGAAGAAAAAAGCCGGTACTCTGCGTATGGATGGCGAATGTCACGAGCCATGGTGGGCGCGAGACAGCTTTGAGGGCGAGGAGGAAGATGGACTTCGTTGGAAAAATGATCTGTGCGGGACTCACAGGCTTTGTAGCTACAGCACAAGCCATAGCACTTGAAACACAGGAGTTGCGCAGTCAGCACTGCCAAATCTGTCACATAAGCAGTGTTATATGCAAATTTTTACTAGCAGGAAACTGGCTAGCACGAAATCAGTATTTTCTTGTATTGGCCAATGACACTCACAAACTTACCACACTCATCAGTATGCCACCCAGCATCATGTCATCTACTTTGCGCAGCCCAAGAAACACATTACCTAATCCTGCACCAATGCATTTATGAGCAGCCTGCAACAGTGAGCTAAGCTACAGAAATGACTCATGAATGCTACATAGTTAGTGGCAAAAATTGTGTAACTATGTTGTCTTTCCCCATCCAATGCATCATCAGTACCTGAGGGCAGCATTGCCATTTAGACTTGGCATGGACTGGCAAGTCAGAATGCAGCTATTTGCTTTCTTGACATACTAGGGTTGAAATACTGCTTTGATATCCTTGCAGTCAACAGCATTGGCTGATATGGACTGATGGCTAGGTGGCACAAACAGCCGTGTTCGCACAGTCCAAAGATCATAACGTGAACCAGCCCCAGAGCTGTCATGACAAAAGCAATCTGGGCTCAAAATTCATAACAAATGATTAATTATAGCAACAGCTCAATTATCCACCTCATGGTTTGCAAAGATATGTGTCACAAAAAAGCACCAAGGCAACATATTTACTCACCAGTACAAAAACAGGTAATGATGTGCACTGCAGATGTTCTCTGCACATCATGTGGCATTAGGTTAGGTTTACTTAGTTTATGCACTGTTTTCTTCCACATGAAATGCACAAACCTGGATTTGACAGAGTACTGATGACAGCTAATTTCATCCAGTGCTCACATTTGCGTTCTTGACATTTTGGAACCATCACTGGGCAATTTTGGTCCCATCATTAAAAATAGTTCACATTCTGCACTGACTGCAATGATCTATTGCCTATATTTGTTGATCCTTTGCATCATGCAGGAATTATTGAGTTACCTATCTCACACACATTAAACTGACAAGCAACAAACAGCCTAATTGCATCAAAAACAAATATTCCAGCCCCCACTTCCTTGCCAGTTGGTCTACCAGTGTGACATAACTTCATATTTCCTTGACAAGCCAGTCACCAATATCCAGCACATCCCTCCTGCCAATAGGTGGTCAACCAAATGTTCAAGTCACAGGAGGAATGTCTGCAAAATCAATCCTGGGGCATTTATGTATTCACCTAATGAAAGAAACTATTGGTACTCCCCGCAAGAATTGTTGAACAGTTGAATTACCTACCTCGTGGCCTGCAGACACCCATCACAAAAAAGCACCAAGGTGACATATTTAATCACCAGCACAAAAACAGGTGATGATATGCAACACAGACGTGTTCTCCATGCAGCATGTGCCATCGTGTTAGGTGTTAGTTTATGCACTGTTTTCCTGCACATGGAACACACAAACTTGGATTTAGCAGAGTAATGATGACAACTATTTCCATCCAGTGTTCACATTTGCTTTCTTGCTGTTTTGACCCCATCATTGGGCGACTTCAGTCCTACCATTAAAAAAGTTCACATTCCGAGCTGAGTGCAATGATCTATATTTGTTCATCCGTCATATCATGCAGCAATTTTTAAGCTACCTTTCTCACACAAATTAAACTGACAAGCAACCAGCATCCTAATTTAAGGAACATCTGCAAAAACACTCCTGGGGACTTAAGGTATTAACTTAATGAACGAAACTTGGATGCATTCTCTGCAAGAATTTTGAGCAATCCAAAAATTAAAATGAGAACAAGTCAAAGCTATATAAAATAACCATATTACCTCCATCTGGCTTTTGGAAGCATGGAGCCTGCCCCAGATGTAAACTAATCTAACTTTTAGGCGGAAAGATAGCACCAAACACCGTCGACGCCTGCTGTCTGCATAGATCAAGCGCCTAGCAAGGCTAAATTACGTGAGCATTTCTGTGCTGCTAGCCACTCAAGGCCCTCAATAATAAGAGTAGTTTTAGCAGCATGATGTCAACTTCACCTTCCTTCTCTTTTCCCTTACCATCTTGGACTTGAACCGTCTCGAGCAATAGCTAAAAACCCGTGGAAAAGCGGTAACACCGCACAAAGCTGAAATGGCTATGAACAGAACTGCGTGCGCCAGGCATTTTTCTTTTTTTTTGTTTAGACAGCTGACGGCCGATAATTCGGACGAAATCCCTTCCTGAACGGATGATCCTCTCACGGGAAGGGATTTCCTCCGGCGCACGATTCGAATCAGCGGAACGGCGCGTGAGTAGTGTATACATGGGCCGGATAGTTCGGATCGAGGACGGGTCCCGGCTTAATTCGAATCACAGCTGCCCATGTAAACAGGGTAACAGTCGCAGGCGTACCCTTGTCACCGACACACTGGCACAGTGGCGCTACTATCCAAGTCTTCGGGCGCTTTGAAAGGGCGGTCACAGAGCACCCACACTGGCACACGGTCACTGATGCTGGGTTAACTGACACACTCACGGGCAGGCGGTCAATCACTGTCGGTGAATGGCTACCACAGAACGATCCATGAAATTAATTACCTTATACCGACAAAACCGTTTTCCACCGCTAGATGATTTGGAGCATCTGCCTTGAGATTTACATGGAACAACGCGAATGCATCGAGCGCAATGCATAAAATCGTGTTCTATCAGTCTGGCGTAAACATGTCCGAGATGTTTGAACGAACGCTGGAAACCAGCATTACGCATTTTGCGCCTTCCTTCAGTACTCGACAGTCCACAGATTCGACCCCCGTAAAGCATTGCTTCGACCAGAACCGGCATAACAAGCAATACCTTCCGTTTCGATTGCATTGTTTGTTCCACACCTGCATGACTAACACCACCCTCGCGACTGTGGCTTGGTAGCTCAGGGACCCCCGGTGACGTGCTTCTCCTCGGCTCGGGTGACTGTTGCGTTGAACCGCCCAAAGCCGGGAAGCGGCTGGGGTTGCCAATGCCGCGTCACGGATCAGGCCCAGTGCGCATCTGGGATCCGCTGTGGTGGACAAGCCTTCGCGGTTCGCCAGCGAAACAAGTTAGAATCATCCAGAAGGAAGTATTTCAAGTCTGAATCCGTCGAAGAGACGGCTTTGCTAAGTCAAAAGATCACAGCACAAAGGTCATCACATACCGCGCTCTTCGTGTTTGGGTCGTTCGGCCTTGAGCGATAGCAGTATTTGTTTTGGGTTGTTCGGCCCACGGCACCTGAGCTCCAAGCCCCCGGAGTCTGCCGGCATCTTTACCGGTCCACGGCACCCTTCGCCACTCACTATCGGTCGAACGCCGGCTTGTAGGGGCTGCGCTTCTGCAGGCCAAACACGACGCTGATCTCCTTGACGTGAGCGGCGATGGCTTCCAGCTCGCAGGGCTCGCGCGCGCCCGGGTCCCGGCCGAGCACCTTCCGCATCTCGGCGTCTGCGGAGCCGGCCGTGCACCGTCAGCGACGGAGCGATCCGCCAACCGACCGACAGGTCACGACCGACCAATACCGCTGCGCAGAATGCTCGGTGCGCAAAGGATAGTATCACATTGCTAGGTGGACGGAAAACGGGCTCCGCAGAAGCCGGCTTCCAGTCACACAAATGTGCTCACTGCTTCTCCGCCTCCATCACAATGGCGATTCACAACTGGATTCGATGCCCATTAAATGATCCAGTTTCTCCATCCGCGCACTCACGGGCCCCCACCGGGCGCTCCCTGACCACCGGACATGAGATCTCCTCCCGTCGGCGCGCGCTCAGCCCTCCAGGTGACGCAGCTCGGGCACCTACCGACCATGAAGCGGATGTCGAGGGCGGAGGCGATGATGACCCAGCCGCCGTCCTTCACCAGCGGCAGCGCGTCCTCGGACGGAGGGAAGAAGCGGCCGCGGCCGCGCTGCTGCATGCTCCACAGCTGCCGACTCAGGCCCGCCAACGGGTCCTGACGTCGGGGGGTCAAGCAGATGTCAGTACTGGCATCATAACAGACGGCATCCTCCACAGCTGCCGACTCAGGCCCGCCAACGGGTCCTGACGTCGGGGGGGTCAAGCAGACGTCAGTACTGACATCATAACAGACGGCATCCTCCACAGCTGCCGACTCAGGCCCGCCAACGGGTCCTGACGTCGGGGGGTCAAGCAGATGTCAGTACTGGCATCATAACAGACGGCATCCTCCACAGCTGCCGACTCAGGCCCGCCAACGGGTCCTGACGTCGGGGGGTCAAGCAGATGTCAGTACTGACATCATAACAGACGGCATCCCCCACAGGTGCCGACACGGACCGGCAGCGGGTCCTGACGTCGGGGAGTCAAGCAGATGTCAGTACTGACATCATAACAGACGGCATCCTCCACAGCTGCCGACACAGACCGGCAGCGGGTCCTGACGTCGGGGAGTTAGGCGGATATCAGCATAGACGCCTACACCATTTCCGACGACCGTCAGCTCAGAGCGAGATAAACCCATCCCACACGACCTCTGAGCTACAGCGGGGCGGCGAGCCCTCGACACCAGCGCCAGCACGGTCACCGGACAGCGAGGACCAGACCGCAGCCTCGCCCCGGCCGCCGCGCCGCTCGCCCGACCCACCGTGACGAACTGCTCGAGGTCGGTGCCGGCGGCCGAGAGCCAGCCGACGTCCGGGCTGGTCGTGAGCTGGCGCACGTCGCCCACCAGCGGCACCACGCGAGGCACCGTCAGCGTGGCGATCAGGTTACCAGAGTACGTGGCTACGCAGATGAGCGAGAATAGCCAGTAGAAGCCGACCACCAGCCGACCGGATACGGCCGTCGGCAGATGCACCCCGCCTGCGGTAGAGAGGGCCGGGGTGTCACACCGGCCGCACGCGGGGCGGTCTCGGGGATGTGACAGCTCCGGCAGCATCAGATAACACAGCGGTGGGTGCAGCGTTCCCAGATAACACAGCGGTGGATGCAACGTCCTCAGATAACACAGCGGTGGGTGCAACGTCCTCAGATAACACAGCGGTGGGTGCAGCGTCTTCAGATTAGCACAGCGGTGGATGCAGCGTCCTCAGATAACACAGCGGCGGGTGCAGCGTCTTCGGATAACACAGCGGAGGGTGCAGCGTCCCCAGATAACACAGCGGTGGGTGCAGCGTCCTCAGATAACACAGCGGTGGGTGCAACGTCCTCAGATAACACAGCGGTGGGTGCAGCGTCCTCAGATAACACAGCGGTGGGTGCAGCGTCCTCAGATAACACAGCCGTGGGTGCAGCGTCTTCAGATAGCACAGCGGAGGGTGCAGCGTCCCCAGATAACACAGCAGCGTCTTCAGATGGCATAACGATGGATGCAGCGTCCCCACATAACAAAGCGGTACGTGTAGCCACGAGAGCCCTTGGCTGGTCCCACACAGCGTGCTGCGAACATTTAAGCTGACGCGCAACCGTCCATTGCAAACGCTGCGGTTCAGGGAATCCTGCTGATCTCCACGTAAATCCCAGGGCCCTGATCCAGCTGAAGACAGCTGCACGAGACTCCTCAGGCATCGCGATTTGCGTCAACATATCGTGCCTTTCTCCGCAGTCAGCCAACAATATTTCGCCCCAGCGGAAGAACGCCATGGCAACGAGCCAACTTCACGATCCCAGCCGCTTAAAGTATCGGAGTGGCCGCCAGCTGCCGGGGTTCAGTACCGTTACCTCGGAAGCCGCTACTGACCCTGGTTGATGGTGGCACCGTATATGTACCAGAGGCAGTTGCCGGCCCGGAAGAGGCCTCCGGTGCGGCTCGCGGCGGGCGCGTCCTCGCCGCGCGGCGAGGCGCCGTTGATGGCGTACAGCAGGGCGGACACGGTCAGCATGGTGAGCAGTATACCGAGCCACACCTGCGAACGACGGCGGGGCAGGTCACCGGCGTACCGAGCCGGCCGTCGGGGAAGTGCAGCTGTGGCCTGCCCGGTCCACGCGATCCCACAACACCGCTCGCGGTCCGCCCGACCCCACAGCACCGCTCGCGCTCCGCCCGACTCCATAGCACCGCTCGCGGTTCGCCCGACTCTATAGCACCGCTCGCGGTCCGCCTGACTCCACAGCACCGCTCGTGGTCCGGACCACATGCACAGTGCAGGATGAGCATCAGCCATTGGCAGCACAGAACATAACCCTAACTAACAGCAGCATCGGCTGAGCAGTGCGCAACCGCAGAATCCTAGCCGCATGGACCGACAGTCGAATGCCCCGCACAAACTCCTTCCATATCATCCCTAGCCGCATAGACCGATAATTAAATGCCCCCCACACACTCCTTCCACGTCATCCCCAGCTGCATAAACCGGGTCACTTTGTCTCTTCTACTCAATTCCCTCCCATAGGCGATCATCGCGCGCATGAGGGGAGGAATAGGGGGGAGGGAGAAAAAGCGAGGAGGGGGAGGAATAGGGACCGCAACAAAATTCCTCTTTTCGCGTGAAGTACGTACACAAATGCAATGAACCCACCCCCCTAACAGACTAACTCGACAAAGCCCTGAGACTGTCTCCACCTAAACAGGCCCGCGCCGCGCGCACCTCAAGCGTGAAGGGATCCTTGTAGATGAAGACGCCGTGATCGACCCGGGCCTTGGGCGTCATGAGGTCGTAGTAGTCGGTGAAGAAGGCGACTGTGCTGCCGACGGCCGCCTGGCGGGCGGGCGTCGAGGAGAAGGGGCCGCAGACGTCCGCCTCGCCGAACGCCAGCATGCGCACCAGGCCCGTCCACGAGCCGTTCTCCAGCAGCAGGCCCCACTGGCCGTCCGGCGGCTCCACCACCGAGTACCTGGCCGACGCGCCGCGGCGACGCTCAGGCCTCGCCAGCGGTGGGGACGGCGACACGCGTGGCGTCTGACACCCGGTCAGAGGTCGGGGATGCTGGGGTGGCCGCTGTACGAGCGAGGCGGCAGCTAGTTGTGTATGATTGGAGGCAAGAAATGCCTAGACCACACCAGGTCAGGCCGCGCTAGTTCAGGTTGGGAGGTCAGGTCAAGTCGGGATCGAATAGGTAAGGTCAGGTCACCTCGGGACCTGAGTCTGACCTTTGGCAAGGCTGACCTGAGTGTTCCATTATGTATCATGAAATGTGTTTTTATGCGTTCAGTACGCTCATTCGACTGGTCAAGAGGTGGCAAACGGTTTTCTTCATTGGGACGGCAGAGTTCGAGTCCGACTTGCCCAGGTCCTGTCAATTCACCTCCAGTCAGATCAGGTCTTTCACGCCTGGCTTGGATGGAACCGTGGGCCGGGTCGGGCAGAGTCGGGTCGGGTCGGGCCGGCCCGACCCTGCCCGAGTCGGGGCAGGCCGCCCACTCACGTGAAGCCCAGCTCCTGAGCCAGCGTGTCCAGGATGACGAAACTGAGTCCGCTGCGACTGACCACGGCGCCGGCGCCGTCCAGCTGGTATGTCACCACGCCGTGCCAGGGTAGCGTGCACACTGCCGGCGCCCAGTGACGTCAGCCGACCGGCGGCGACAGACACACCACAGTCGGACCACCCCGCCACCAGTCAGCAGCGAGGGGCCGTCGTCTGACCCCCACCGCCACAGTCAACTGGGGAGCACCGCGAGAAAGGCGGCGCGCAACTGACCCAGGCCTGCGCGCCAATTCACATCTCGCACAGCTGAGCACGACTGCGGGTCGGCTTGCTGTACGCAACATCTTAAACACGCAGCAACACAGCTGCAGCCGGACAGGCCAGGCAGTGCCACAGTGTCCGGCAGGCCAAACCCCACCACTCATCGCCCGGCGAAGTGACCCTTGACCGGCGGCGACGGCGGACCGAGTCGACCCTCGGCCGTGCTCTCACCGATGAGGTGCGCGCCACGGAACAGGTCGGGGAAGGTGAGGTCCAGCCGCCAGGTGGCGTTCCAGTGGCCGGCCGGCCGCAGACGTGTCTCGCTGCCGCCGCCGCCGCCGCCGCCCGGGCCCCAGAGACGGCCGTACTTGCTGGCGCGCAGCTCAAAGGCCAGGCACGTCAGACACGTGCCCCAGCCGGCCAGGCGGGTCTGCGGGAGCGAGGCTGGTGAGACGGAGGACTAGCTGACACGGACACCGGGTCCCGTCGGACGGCCAGGGGATCAGGTTAGACGGACACGTGGTCAGGTCAGATGGTAGCGAGAGGTCGGTTCAGATGACCACGCGAAGGCCACCGAGTGTGCCCACCCACCTACTGGTCTTCCAGCCTGCCTGAACTGGTTTTGTCATTCAGTACACCCGTCAGCGGTCAGCACCCGCACCCAGTCGGCACACCCATCAGCGGTCAGCAACCACACCCAGTCGGTACATCCGTCAGCGGTCACACCCGCACCCAGTCGGTTCATCTGTCAGTCAACGCCTACACCCAGTCGGTACACCCGTCAACGGTCAGCACCCGCACCCAGTCGGTTCATCTGTCAGTCAACGCCCACACCCAGTCGGTACACCCGTCAGCGGTCAGCGACCACACCCAGTCGGTACACCCGTCAACGGTCAGCACCCGCACCCAGTCGGTACATCCGTCAGCGGTCAGCACTCACACAGTCGGTACACCCGTCAACGGTCAGCACCCACACGGTCGGTACACCCGTCAGCGGTCAGCAACCACACCCAGTCGGTACATCCGTCAGCGGTCAGCACCCATACCCGGTCGGTACACCTGTCAGCGGTCAGCACCCGCACCCAGTCGGTTCACCTGTCAGTCAACGCCCACACCCAGTCGGTACACCCGTCAGCGGTCAGCAACCACACCCAGTCGGCACACCCGTCAGCGGTCAGCAACCACACCCAGTCGGTACACCCGTCAACGGTCAGCACCCGCACCCAGTCGGTACATCCGTCAGCGGTCAGCACCCACACCCAGTCGGTACACCCGTCAGCGGTCAGCACCCACACAGTAGGTACATCCGTCAGCGGTCAGCGCCTACGCCCGGTCGGTACATCCGTCAGCGGTCAGCACGCACGCCCAGTCGGTACACCCGTCAGCAATCAGCGCCTACGCCCGGTCGGCTTTTATGACCGGTGTTACAAGGCTCGCCACAAACCTTCTAAAACCGTTACAAGAACAGACGGCGAGGGCACACCCAACGAAGAGCCAGGTGGCGCGCGCGACACAGCGTCGCGCGCTCCCAGGCGAGGAGGTCTTGCCTGTATGTCGGCGGCGAGTTCGCGCTGGGTCTCCGGCCAGCCAGTCTGCCGCCGACAGCTGTCGGAAGCCACCGAGACCGTCTCCGGCAGCCAGCCCGCCTCCCAGCCGGCGTGCAGCGACTCGGCCAGCGCCAGCAGCGCCGACATCACAAACGTCTGCTCAGAGTCCAGCTGTCGGCAGCGCCCGGCACGCTCAGAGGCGCTGATGCTGCAGACGTCTGCTCGCTCCGAGCAGAGTTGGGAGCCCACTCCCCAAATCGAACAATTACAGTTACTCCAAATTCGAAAAACAGAACAACTCACCAAAAAACGTTCCCGGCCAAAGTGTCGAGTCAGTCTGTTGATACGTCCAGTGTCATTCAGGCTTACACAAAGCTACAGCGAACGGTGTTGACCCCAACACGAGCTGTGCCGGCTCCTCACCGCGCGGCGTCCCATGCGGCGGGCCAGCGGCAGCAGCAGCTCGGTCAACTGGCGGCTCAGCTGGCGGCGGGCCACCGTGACGTTGGCGTCGGTGGGCAGGGCCAGCTGAACCTCGCCGTCCGTCCAGCCGTCCACCGTCAGCAGCCAGGGCGAGGCAGCCGTCAGCAGCCCGGCCGCGTCCACCTGACCGACACGGACACGCCGTGAGTCCGCGGGTCACCTGACCTACACGGACACGCCGTGAGTCCGCGAGCCACTTGACAGACACGGACACGCCGTGAGTCCGCGTCCACCTGACCGACACGGACACGCCGTGAGTCCGCGAGCCACCTGACCGACAGGGGCACGGCATCACGGCATCACGGCATCGGTCGACAGACCACCTACCCGCGTCCACCTGACCGACACGGACACGCCGTGAGTCCGCGGGCCACCTGACCGACACGGACACGCCGTGAGTCCGCGAGCCACCTGACCGACACGGACACGCCGTGAGTCCGCGTCCACCTGACCGACAGGGGCACGGCATCACGGCATCACAGCATCGGTCGACAGACCACCTACCCGCGCACACACCTGACAGCCGCATGCACACCGGCCAGCGCTCCGAGTACGCTCAACGGGCAGAGGCGGCGCGGAGCAGCGCCAGATGCGGGTCCTCTGCCGCCTGGGCCAGGATCCGCTCCCACCGCGGACGTGACGTCACGGCTGCCTGATCTCGGGTCCGCGCCCATTCCAGGAGGGTCCTCTCACACCTCTGACGCGGCGTCACGGCTGCCTAATATCGGGTCCGCACCCATTCCAGGAGGGCCCTCTCACACCTCTGACCTGAACCGGTGTCCCCTCGGTCAGCACCCCTTCCGCCTCCGCCCCGTGCCCCCTCAGCAGCACCCCTGCCTACCTCCACCCCGTGTTCTCTCGGCCGGCAACCCTGCCCACCTCCACGCCGTGTTCTCTCGGCCGACACCCTTGCCCACCTCCACCCCCTGTTCTCTCGGCCGGCACCCTTGCCCACCTCCATCCCGTGTCTTCTCGGCCGGCACCCCTGCCCACCTCCGCCCCGTGTTCTCTCGGCCGGCACCCCTGCCCACCTCCGCCCCGTGCCCCCCTCGGCAGCACCCCTGCCCACCTCCACCCCGTGTCCTCTCGGCCGGCACCCCTGCCCGCCTCCGCTCGGAGCCGCCCTCACCTCGGCCAGGATGTCGGCCAGCCGGCCGGGCTCGGCGAGCAGCACGAACGCCCAGATAGCCGGCAGGAAATCGGCGTCGGGCCGCGGCGCCTCCAGCAGCGCGGTGAGGCGGCGCCGCACGTCACCCGCCGCCCGGCCGGCCGGCACCAGCTCGTGCACCAGGTGGCTCAGCCGGTCAGTCAGCAGCCAGGTGAGGTCGGCCGCTGCGGCGTGGACACCGGTCAGCGGCGGTGAGGCGCGGGCGGAAGGCGCCGCGCACGGCAGGCTGCAGCGGGTGACGGGACACTGGGCGGGGGCTCCGCACATACAGAGTGGAGCGGGTGACGGGACACTGGGCGGGGGCTCCGCACACACAGAGTGGAGCGGATGACGGGACACTGTGCATAGCAAACCCACGCAGTCCAGTCAGGAAGCGGCTGGGCCAAGCGCGCCCCTCCTCCTCCCCCAGACACGTCGCATATTGAACCAAGCCGCCGGCATCAAGGTCTGGACGCGCTCACACGCCTCTCACCGCCAGCGTGTGCCACCCGGGGAGATGACGGGCTCAGCACGGCTGGGCCACGGTCCGGCTGGGGTCAGGCCACCCACAGCCGCCGCCGGTCACGGTTCAGCACAGAGCAGGGAGTGGCGACAGTGACGCGGCTGTCCCGATGGGAGAGCACCTACCCGATATCTCACCGGCTGATTCATCACCAGAAGGCTCGTGTTGCACCCATCCGTGAATTAACCAGTCATAGCCACGCAACCAAGCGGGAGCATGCTATGAAGTGTCACTCAACACAATGGTAACGCGCTAAGAGCATATTCCCTGCGCTAACGTTGTGAATACACAATCCGACTCGGGCCTCCTCTCGCTGCCGCCATCTTGCTGCGGCAAAGCCCACTCTGCATCTCGCCTCTCCCTCACGGAGGGCCACGTGACGGGGCGGGGCAGGGGTGGGCGACTTACGCTGCTGGTCGGTGGACACCACCGTGACCCCCAGCTTCCCGGAGGCGGACATCCAGTGGGCGACCAGAGACAGGGCGGGACAGGGGTGGGCGACTTACGCTGCTGGTCGGTGGACGCCACCGTGACCCCCAGCTTCCCGGAGGCGGACATCCAGTGGCCGAACAGAGACAGGGCGGGACAGGGGTGGGCGACTTACGCTGCTGGTCGGTGGACACCACCGTGACCCCCAGTTTCCCGGAGGCGGACATCCAGTGGGCGACCAGAGACAGCACGTCCAACTGCTCCGCCTTCGAGAGAAACACGCCATCTCGATTCTCGGCGGAGCTCAGACAGTAGAATCTGCGAGGCATAAACATCACAACATAACTCGCATAATGGGGCGACCTTGACAACATAGAGGTGGGTATTTTTCCAAGTGAGCGGACGTGTCCCACACCTACAGCATTCATGACCACGTCTTAGGTGGCCAACGTTCCCACTGCTGTCACCAACTCGTCGCGCACCATCCAAGCTGCCAGTCTTCCAGCTTTGGTCCGCGGCCGTCAGATGCCGCGTCTGGGAGCTGTTACCTATTGACGACGAAAAACGGAACGGAGAAATCCCGGGCCAGCTGCTGCATTTCTCTGATGATGCCGCACGAGTTGTCCAGCGCCACCAGCGCCACCACGGAACCGCGCAGAAACTGACACGCTGAGGGGCGCGACAGATGTCCGTTGTCAGTGAGCGGCGACGACAGAACGTCACAGGCCGGCTGACACATACCAGGAGCATGGCATAGGCCACAGCCCTGCCCCATCGGTCGCTCTATTCAACCGCGGCGCAAGACAGCGCTCACCAGCGGCAAGCCGAGCGGTTCAAGGAGCCGGCCAGTGAGCCTCTCCCCCACCCCTCCCCCTGACCTCCCGCCCCGGCACCCCCGGGGCCGCCGCCCGGCTGACCTCGCCAGCGCAGGCCGGCGAGCCTCTCCCCCCCCTCCCTTCCCCTGACCTCCCGCCCCGGCACCCCCGGGGCCGCCGCCCGGCTGACCTCGCCAGCGCAGGCCGGCGAACCTCTCCCTCCCTCCCCCTGGCCTCCCGCCCCGGCGACCCAGGGGCCGCCGCCCGGCTGACCTCGCCAGCGCAGGCCCGGTCGGCTAGGCGTCAGGTAGTCGAGCACGATCCGCGTGCGCGGCAGCAGCCGGCCGTTCTCGTTAAGCCAGGTGGCGGTCTGCTGGAGGGCGGCCTCGGCGCCGCCGCCCAGCCGGTCCGGCAGCAGCACGCCTGGCGGCGGGACCGGCCGTCAGCGTCGTGGCGACCCCGCGAGCGGTCCCCGCCCGTGCCCGGAGGCCGGTGTTGGGCACAGGTTGTCGTCGGCAACAATTGCCAGCACTTGCAGTTTTCGATGGGTTATCAGTTCCAAGCATCTGCGATGGTACTGTCAGGTATGTCGTATCGTTTTCACCTAACCACGCAGGTGATGAACTCCTGTGGCGCTCACAAAAAAATAATATGAGGGCTTCTCAAGTACAGCGTCACAGTTGTGACTATATACCCGGTCACGGTCAGATATCGAACGCAGTAGGGAACGAGTGGTGTTTCGTCCAACGCCACCTGAACTCCTTATGGGGTATGTTAGGGCCAGGCTCGCCAAGACATTTGGAGGCAAAATAATTTTCTTCGTACGATAATTTTCTCCAAACACTCTTGGCCTCGAATGGCTGAAGATGTGAACAACTGCCGAAAGTGAGCCCAACAAATCACGTCACCACCCGCCGGCCTTGGAACGCCATTCTCCTCCCACTTCTTAAACTTTTCACTAATTTTCTGTGGTCGCTGAGGTATGACTTCTCTCTCAAGACCCAAAACGAAAAAAAAATGCTACATTTCCGAAGGCGGCGACTGCGGCGATGTGTATCTGTCGTCTGTTATGCACAATGTCCAATGCCAGGCTAGTTTTTATTCTCTTTAGGTGATCCTCAAGCATCAGGTTGGCTGCACTGAGCGAACCAAACTTGATTCGCAGGTGACATTAAGTTATACACCGTGTCTTGTTTAAGCAAACTATGTACTATTCACCGTACCATCGTAATTACGCTCGAATCCGTGGATAGTCCGGGTCGACTCCGCAGCCAGTCAAAAATGTAGGCGAGTAAGGGTCGGAGTTAACATCCCGCGTGACTGGAGCAGGCAACTACTCTAACCGGATGAAAATAGAAATAAAGAGGAACAAAAATTAGCTACCGGAGCGCCAACAAACATAGCTTACCGCGGCCATCGACTGCTTAAAGTTCAGGCCTCGACCACGCACAGGGAACTCGAAGATCACAAGAAAAACCGCATCATTTGGGAGCAAAACATATCCTAAGCCCTATCTCATCATGTGGATGGGAGTTGACACATGTCTGCGGACCTGGTGTGGGCCTCGGCAGCAACGCCGGGACTGCCCCAGCAGGCGGCACGGCACCTACCGCCGCTCCCCGTCACCCGTGGCGCGCGCGGACCGCAGAGGGCGCTGCCAGCGGCCAGCCAGGCGCCGCTCACCCGCCACCGTCGGCGCGTGCGGACCGCAAGGGGCGCTGCCAGCGGCCAGCCAGGCGCCGCTCCCCGTCACCGTGCGCGCGCGGACCGCAGAGGGCGCTGCCAGCGGCCAGCCAGGCGCCCTCCCCGTCACCGTGGCGGCGCGCGGACCGCAGAGGGCGCTGCCAGCGGCCAGCCAGGCGCCGCTCACCCGCTACCGGCGGCGCGTGCGGACCGCAAGGGGCGCTGCCAGTGGCCACCCAGGCGCCGCTCCCCGTCACCCGTGGCGCGCGCGGACCGCAAGGGCGCTGCCAGCGGCCAGCCAGGCGCCGCTCCCCGTCACCGGCGCGCGCGGACCGCAGAGGGCGCTGCCAGCGGCCAGCCAGCGCCGCTCACCCGCTACCGGCGGCGCGTGCGGACCGCAGAGGGCGCTGCCAGGCGGCCAGCCAGGCGCCGCTCCCCGCTACCCGGCGTGCGCGCGCGCGACCGCAGAGGGCGCTGCCAGCGGCCAGCCAGGCGCCGCTCCCCGCTACCGGCGGCGCGTGCGGACCGCAGAGGGCGCTGCCAGCGGCCCCCAGCGGCCGCTCCCCTCACCCGTGGCGCGCGCGGACCGCAAGGGCCTGCCAGGCCAGCCACGGCGCCGCTCCCCGTCACCGTCGCGCGCGCGGACCGCAAGGGGCTGCCAGTGGCCACCCAGGCGACCGCTCACCCGCTACCGGCGTGCGCGTGCGGACCGCAGAGGGCGCTGCCAGCGGCCAGCCAGGCGCCGCTCACCCGCTACCGGCGGCGCGCGCGGACCGCAAGGGGCGCTGCCAGTGGCCACCAGGCGCCGCTCACCCGTCACCGTCGGCGCGCGCGGACCGCAAGGGGCGCTGCCAGTGGCCACCCAGGCGACGCTCACCCGCTACCGGCGGCGCGTGCGGACCGCAGAGGGCGCTCCCGCGGCCAGCCAGCGCCGCTCACCCGTTACCGGCGGCGCGTGCGGACCGCAAGGGCGCTGCCAGTGGCCATTCGGACGCGGGCGCCGCTCACCCGTCGCCATTGAGGAGGCCGCGGGAACGAGCGCCTGGTCTGGGGGCCGCGCCGCCCCCCTGGCGTGGGACCGGCAGCAGCGGCGGCGCGCCGCCCACCGACACGTCAAAGGACGCTTTTACCAAGCCGGAATAATGAACGCAGACCCACAGCGCCGGGCACGGCTGACGACGGACAACGCTCTATGCCGGCGCATTGTTATTATGGGGCGTAAGGCCGACAAAGCCGGAAAGAGTACGCAAACAGCGCCTGCCTTCAATAGACGTACAAGTTGCAGCGGTCGGCAGCGCAGGTCGATTGTATTACCGAGTGGCGCAGGCTAACTTAAACTACACATTGGCAACGGCGTTGCGCGAGCATATCACGAATGTCACAATACGGGCGAATATACCACAAAACGATAACAGGTGGTGTCATATCACCAACCATATACCGACAGAGGGGCGACAGAGGGACGTGACAGAGAGGTTGATCGGCGTTGTAACTAACGCTTTGGTTACGTCCCTAGGCAGAGAAAGCTACCGCGCTGCTGGTGCTGCTGACATCCCTGTGTAGGCACAATGTACGCATTTTACGCACATGTGGACCGCTGAAGTATCCAGCAACGGACCGAATCCGAGCCGGTGTGAGAGGGGACAATCCCGTCCCACATTAGCATATACAGAGAGCAGCCGATGACTGAATAACAGGCCCAGCTGTCCTGCTGGCCGTGTTCCTCGACACCGGCCAGGCCGCCGGTCAGCTGGGGGGCTTCCTTTAATACGACTCATGTTTTCTGAACAGCGTAGCCTGGACGGATTTGGAACGAACGCATTGACAACGCATGAACGGAAGAAGTTCACTTTTTGCAAGCGAGACTCTCTGCATGAGGGAAAGGACTTCGTTTGAGAAGTTCCAACAGCAAACGTGTGCTCTTCCGACCGCGTGCCTTGCAGACCGGAAACCCAACAGGAAGTCGTCGCCACGGACCGCGTCTGCACTGGAGCCAGTCAGCTACACACGCCCTCTCGTTACGTGGTAAGGATGGGAAGGTAACTTCCAACTAAAGCATACCGTGTTCGACCGACGATGACAGCACTGACCACAGCGTGTACTCGTCCTTCGCGTGTTACCCGTCCTTCGCGTGTGACTCGTCCTTCGCGTGTGACTCGTCCTTCCCGTGTACTCGTCCTTCGCGTGTGACTCGTCCTTCCCGTGTACCCGTCCTTTACGTGTGACTCGTCCTTCGCACGTTATTCGTCCTTCGCTTGTTCCTCGTCCTTCGCGTGTCACTCGTCCTTCCCGTGTACTCGTCCTTCGCGTGTGACTCGTCCTTCCCGTATACTCGTCCTTCGCACGTTACTCGTCCTTCGCTTGTTACTCGTCCTTCGCGTTACTCGTCCTTCGCGTGTTACTCGTCCTTCCCGTGTACTCGTCCTTCGCGTGGTACTCGTCCTTCGCGTGTGACTTGTCCTTCCCGTGTACTCGTCCTTCGCACGTTACTCGTCCTTCGCGTGTCATTCGTCCTTCCCGTGTACTCGTCCTTCGCGTGATACTCGTCCTTCGCGTGTACTCGTCCTTCCGCGTGTCACTCGTCCTTCCGCGTGTCACTCGTTCTCGCGCGTTCTCTCCTTCGCTTGTTACTCGTCCTTCGCGTTACTCGTCCTTTGAGTGTCCTTGCCAAAATACAGAAAGGGCAGTCGATCCGAAGCATGCACTATCGATGACATGATTACATTCGTCGTTAGTCAACCAATGCTTCCAAGTTTCCTTTCTTGCCAATAGCCCATGACCGTAAGCTCGCGTTCCATATCCCCGGAGTGGTGTTATGATATATAGCTACCATCCGCGCCGCTCGGCTAAATAGAAAGTTGAAAGGACACACAACGCACGCCATCATGTCCCCTTGTATAGAGCGTGCTAACCACTCATCCATTATACCGCCCAAGATCCCGAGCCTTTCCAACCACTCGGACTCCTTTTACAGCATATTGTTGGACAAGTCCCCGTCTCGAACATTGGGCGATCACCCGCGCGGCCGAAACTGCCCTTTTAGAAGGATATGTATCGCGTTTGCTTTACAGTGAAACTGGGTGCGTCACATCGCTCATTCTAGTTCATATATGTCCTACTTTTTTCGCTTTTTACATGAAGTTGACAGGAATTGCCACGTCAAAAACGCGTAGCCTCCCAAGCTGAAAGGCGTTGGTCTGATATTTCCAACCCCATTGAAGAGTTCATCGATCGCCTAAATTACTTGGCACGAGGCCGCGAACAATGCAAACAATTCAGCAGAGTGAATATAACACGCGTTTTCATCTGCATGACGAATCAATGATTAAATATTCGTGAGCGAGGGACAATAGTGCTGGCTTCGCTACGCTCGTTCATCATAATGGGTCATAAAAGGAATGGTGCAACGATATAGGCCCAAGGACTTATGGTCAGTTATTCAAGAGTTCCGTAGGTTATTAAATGCACTTGCGGGGAGCGTTATGCATATAGATAGGACAGAAATAATAGCC